TAATTTCAATAAAATATCGAATATATTTTGCATCATATAAATTATTTTCAGCTATGATATTTATGCTAAAATAAAGCAAATTCAGTTGAAATATTTCCTAATAATTAAAAGCAATTAATGTTTTTTTAGAGTTTATATATTGATGTTCAACTCCATAGTCATTATTTTCTGTGTGAAAACCGTAGTTTCTATGATAGATATGTTTAAAAAAAATTCTAAATTATAATCACAAGTCATTAAAAATGCATGTCGTGTACTAAATCTTATTAAATACTTTTCAATTTTCATCGTTTAATCTTATAATTACTATTCATTTTTTTATAATGCTATCTATTCATATTAGTTCTTTTTATAGTCATCTCCATGAACTTTGTGTCTTTATTTTAATACTCTCACATAAACTTCCTATGTTATTTTATTTATAAGAAAGTGAAGTTCTTTTTACTCAAAATTGTTCTTCGTAGTTTATTCGACTTGAATAGAATAATTTGTGATATGATTTTTTTTGATGATCTATTTTTTGTCGATATTAAGTTGTAAATATTTCATATATTTATTAAAGATATATAATCGAAGTATGAAGATAAAATTATTCTTTAAATTATATTTCAAATATTTTCAACTTAAAAATATAGAATAAGTAAATGGCTACTATAATGATACAAATATATAGATAAATCAATTCTTAATTATATCGTTTTATTTTTAAGGACAACTCAAATGTTACACATCACTGTGATTTACTATATTGAATCAGTCCATATTTTTCTCGGTTAAATTCTTATGAAAAACAAATATTAATGTAGATTTCAATGAAAAAAAAGGATAAAAATGATATTAATCGAAGTTTTATCTCTAACTATTCTGTTTTTATCTAAAAAGTGAACCTATTCTATACTCTATAAAATATATCAATTAGATATTGTATTAATATTTATCGAGTATTTCGAAGCTATAATACCAAGATTATAGCTCAGATTTTTCCAGTCTTCTTTTTTTATGTCTTCCTAATTCATATGGAATTGAAGCAATAATAATCACTGTTCGACTAAATGGAATAAATAATTCACACATTCCTAGAGGATGAAAACACACAAATATATTGACCTGATTCATTTCCAAATCATTCTTATAAAATTCATAAACTTGTTTTCGTTCAGTTAAACTAGAAAACATTTCATTTGTTCGATTTAATACTTTTAAATTTTTTGCACATATATTAGTGAATTCACAAGCACATGATAAACTTTTGTCGATAAATTCAATATCAAATGATGCAAGTTAATGTTTAATATCTCTTGTTGGACTATAACTAAATAAAAAATTTATATAAAATAGAAACAATTTTAGATAACAAACAAATGAGAATATCTACTAATAGCTATTTTACAATCGAAAAATAGAAACGATTCTTTAATTTTCTCGCCACAGATAAAATCTTCTCAGAATGAAATAAATAGAAAATATTTTAATAAAATTTTATTCAATAATTATTTGTAGAAAAAATTCTTTCGTAATCTCACTATTCAAGTCAAGATACTTTACTACTTAAAGTATCGTATTTTTATTTATACTCTCTACTAGAAATTGTTTAATTGAATGGTTACATATTATTCAATATTTTTACTATGATAATGATATTTTTTTTTTCTGTATTTAGCAAAGCTAATCTGATCTTAAACATTTGCTAACGAATATTATATATAAACTTTTTCTTATTAACTAGTTGATAAATAGTATAAAAATCTATCGTTTCAAGTATAATTAAATGATTTGATATGATTGACTCATTATTACGAAAGCGATTATCTGAATTTATTTTAAAAAATAGAAAATTCATTCAAATAATTTTCACTTACTCTTGTTGTAAGTTTGTAATAACTTATATGAAAGTCGCTGCTCCATACTACGAATCTATTTTTAAATGCTGGAATATTTTTTAGTTGCTTTAATAAAATCTTTAGTATTAATATAAGATGTACAACACAGTCAAATATAAGTATTCTTTTGTAAATCGGTGATATGTATCGATGAAATGGAATCCAAAATATATTTCAAAAGATACAATTGATATAGTCTTAAATCTAAAGGAGTTTTAGAATAAACAATATAGTATAATTACATTAAATTTCTATTCTAAAAATAAGAAAAAGAAAAGATGAGTTGAAATTAAGAGTAACAAACACAAATTATTTGACTTTTTCTTTTCAAAATTATTAATTATGTCAATAAGAATCACTAGAATTTGATTATTTTAGATGATATTTTATAAGAATATAGCACCATTTTTCTCAATGTAATTGTAAAGAAAAAATCGTTGTCTCGATCGAATGAAATTCAATTGAAAATGTTCCAACAAATATTGTCAAAATTTCAAAAATATTGACTTTTTTGTACAATAAATAATAATTATAATATATCAAATAATATAATTAACCTTACGAAAAAATTTATTATTTATCCCGATCTAATCAATCATTGCAACAAATGTTTTGTTTATTTAATTTTGTTGAACAAAATACAAAAAAAACATTTTTCTTCTATATTTAATCAAAATATATCTTCTTCCTAAAAGATATATGAACACATTCGAGGTAATTCACTTTTCATACGAGAATTAATCAAGATATTCAATCATGCAGACAACAAACTTCTAACAAAATCTACTTACTCATCTTGCGGGTGGGTGTGGGTGTGGGTGTGGTGTAGTTATGGATACTGTATTCATTCAGTACCCACACCCACACCCACACCCACACCCACACCCACACCCTAATATTTTAACAAGAAACATCATATTATGGAATAGAAGACCAAAAATATCGAATACAAGGCAGATGACGCATTATATGTGATCTGCTATCTAAAAAAAGTAAAAGAAAATGTTTTTATATACAGTTCAAATTTGTTAAAAATTTCTGTTCTAAATTCTTAAATAATATAATATTTTGATTAAAATATGTTATAGACAATGAATTAATTGTCAATTCTAGTTAAAATAAAAGAGAAAATGGATTAATACTAATCTAATTAATAGAAGAAAGTCTGTTTAGCTAGTTGAGTTTTTTGTCATGAATTTTCAAATTAAAAAAATCGAATATTGTTATAAAAATATTTTTAATGAAAATTTTTATATTGAAGAAAGTGAAACAATTTATTAAAAACTTACATAAATCACCGGATATATTTCTAATATATGTTTTGTTCATTATTTGTGGAATTCAAATAATCATAAAGAATATAACTAAATTATTTCAATTTTTCCACCAAAATACAAAGAAAATAGTGCTGAAAAACTTTTTCTAAGACTTTCTCTTTCACGTTTAACATAACATTCAACAAAATATTCTAGAACAAAATTCAAATAATTTTTCTCGAAGAAATAAAATAATATAAAAAAAAGTTAAACATTTTTTAAAACGAAACCACTCAACCGTTTCCATGTGTTTTATTGCGATGAAAAAGCGATGCAATGAGTGTTCTTCAACATTCGCTTGTTCACCACGCAACAACGCGAATATTGAATAAGGATAATTACGATCGCACTCTCATACACACGTAATTACAATGAAAATATCATAGTTGAATGTAGGTAGAATGAAAAACAAATCATAGTTATGATAAATAAATTACACTTTGTCAAAGTTCTGTCACATATTCACATGACAATCCACTGTCAATTGATCTTGATATTGTGAGAAAAACAATGTCAGGCTGACATCATTTATTTCTCTCTTTATTTACAAATATTATTATTGAGGAAATAAAATTATTTAGATGATTACTCGAACAAGTTTCCATCAAAATAATATCATATGACTTTGATTATTTCACAAAAGAACAATACCAGTATAGTTGTTTCGTTACATTTATTAATAAAAAAGATTTTAACAATATGAAACTGATTAGTTTAAACTATTCATAAGAGAAAGCATGTTTTTAGTCTTGATTAAAAATAATTCTGCGAGTGTCATTGTTGCTTAGAAAAAATCATTTGCATAAAACAATGAGTGTATTTGTAGTAATAAGGTTTCTCAATATCCTTGTGCTCCTAAAATATTTTGACATAGAACATTATGTAATTAAAGACTTTTATATTTTATACCTCAATGATTATCGCATGAAATTGTCTAATCGATCTTATTTGTTATTCTTTCTTTCTGTATCACTAAACTTTTATTATTGTAAAGATAATCATAGTTGAAAACGATCAAATATGTTTTTCAACTGATAAAACTTTATATGAGATATTTTTTTCCACTATAATTTACATTGAGAAAATGTAAGAATAATATATGTCTGATATACCATCGATAGTTTATATTTTTCTAATTTATTTCCAAATCTTTCAACATTAAACGATTTAAAACCTTCACAAATTATATTGTTTTCAATTTGATAATGATGATAATGAAAAAAGAAAAAGCATTGTTTTATATTTAATAGATTCAAAATATAGGTCTCTTTATATATTTTAGTACACGATAAATTTCTTTTTTAATTCTAATGATTAGAAAAATAAATATTTTTTGTTTCATGTAAATCGATAGCTAATTACTAAAAAGAAATGTCTTTATCGTGCGAATCTACTGAATACAAATAAGATTTAAAGTATCAATAGAAAGATTGACGATATGCTTCTAAAAATGGCCATAGTTTTACCTTTTAAATATAAGCAGAGTGAATCGAAAGAAATATTTCAATTGTTTATGCAATCATTTAAAATCTCATCAACAACGAAATGACTCTAATGATAGATATTTTTGAGTAGTATTCGATCAGATTGTTTATAGCATTTATAATTGTAATAGACCGAATTCATTTATCAAATTTTAATTTTTTCAAAGACAAAAAAAATGATATAGGATTAACCATTCTCATGATATTTAAAATATATATGAAACCACAATAACCGATTTGGAATAAGAAAACTTTATTAATAAACATAATAGAGTCAAAGAAAAATAATCTTATAATTGTTAGAATATGAATAAATACAATCACCCGGGAACTCGTAAAAGTCGAGCCCAAATAGCAGCCTAAAATAAAAATTAAATTGAAGAGAAAAAACCAAATTTCAAAACTTACAGGCATAGACCATAGAAATAAGAGTAAGAATAGAATAAAACAAACCAACAATAATCCACCAATAATATACCATTTCGATTTTCTCCAAATAATATTTTTAAATGTACGAAATGGTGATTGAAACCAAAGAAATGATGTTTCTGGTCGTCTGAAAAAAAATGATATTAAATAAATTTATCGTGATCTTTCTAATATAATCAAAATTATATTCTTACTGAGGTGGATCCAAATGAGGATTTTCATTAGGTTCTTCTTGTCCACGTCCAGCTGGTCTTTGAGCAGCTTCTTCTTCAGTTAAGATTTCAAGTTCAAGTTCAAGTTTTCCCTAAAAAAAGAAAAACAAATTATTCTTTTTTATATAATAATAAAATAGAATTGAAATCTTACAGTTAATTCTGGATCACCACCGGCAACATCAACACAAGGCCACCAACCTTTAATTCTTTTCATTTCGAATAATGATATATAGTCTGTTGATTCATCATTTACTATATCCAACGTACAAAACTCAGAATTTTTTGCAGGCTTATATAATCGATTTAAATCAAGAGTTAATGCACCTAATTAATTACAGAAATTATTTTAAAGAAAAAGAAAAAGGGAGAGCAAGTTTACCAAGAAAATCATCAGCACTAAATTTATCATTATCCCAAACTTGTAAATTTAATACAGGTGGGATTGCTAATTCAGTTGCATCATAACTCCAAAAATATTCTTTCTTTTTAACTGAAATACATCG